GTTTATTGCCTTTGCGTTGAGCTCCATCTTTTTGCAATCTTCGTCGGTGAACTCCTCTTCTGTTTTGGGGACGTTGACTTCACCGACTTTCTTCATAGAGACTCCGCAGCCGTTCTTCACAATCAACCACAGCTTGTAGTCGTTGGATTGGATAAAGATTCTCATCCTCTCCTTCCAATACGAGTAGTTTGTTCCATCGAACAATGGTGGCCTCGTGGTTGATTGTCCCTCGGTCACTCCTGCGTTGAACATTCTTAATTCCATTTGATCTTTTAGTTCCTGAAAAAAATAGCGTATTCGAAGAACTTCCTGCTCCGATACCAATTGTTAGACAAATGTGCAACTCTAGAGGGGGGGTGAATAGAGTTGTTTTCAAGAATGTGCGTTTTTCGCGTGTGTGAAATAATAAAATCGCAGGAATAAATAAAGAGAGTAAGGGAAAGAAGAACACCGAGATTTATACTGGTTCACCACCTCGTGGCTAGTCCAGTCCTCCGAGAGACTCTCTCGAAAGTCCTACTAATCTTCAAGCTTCAACGGGTGCTTGAAAAACCGGTACAACTTGAGAACTTGAATCACACAAGCCTCACTTTCTTACAACAACAAGACTTGAGTCACACAAGTCTTAAGAACAACACTCAAAAGAGATTGAGTTGACAACACAAGAATGATAGCTTCACACAATTGAGCAAAGTAGTGTTGAAGAGTTAAAGCTCTATGGATGACAACTTCTTTAGCACTCAAAGAAAATATTTTTAACTCTCAAAAATAATATTTTGATGGGGAAGATGAAGCAAAGGATGAATATAGCTCAAGAATATATTGGAGTGCAAGAGATGTATTTGAAATGAAGAAGAATGAGGGATTAAATAGGCTGAAGAAAATAGAACCGTTGGAGCAGGCTGAGAATAGGCACCAGACAAAATTAATCGATTAAAGTGGAGAAATTAATCGATTAGACGGCGCTGTTTGAACTAATCGATTAAGGTGAAGAAAAAAATCGATTAATTGGAAAAAAGTCTTCAGCGAAGAATGCAATCTTAATCGATTAAGTTTGTTGGAAAAATCGATTAGACTGCGCTGTGAGAGCTAATCGATTAAATGAATAAGAAAAATTGATTAATAATGAAGGCTTAAGAAATCTGGAACTGGATCTAATCGATTAATTTAGAAAAATTAATCGATTAAAGTGGAAATAATGCGCAAACATAAAAGGCTCCAAGCCAAGTGCGATTGGAAGCCTTTGGCTTCTAACTCGTTGTTTGGGACAACGGGAATATCCACGGACGCTCCATCTCCTATTCAATGAATTTGAGTAGGGGAGAGAAAAAGAGTCCAAAAATTATTTTGTGTGTCAAACGATGTACACGAAAAATATTTAAATTATATTTTTCTTACCAAAAAAAATTTGTGTAATCTTAAAAAAATGTTTTCAAGAAATTTTGACACACTTATTTTGAAACCGACTCAGTAAAATATTTTTGGTAGAGGAAAAAGTAAATTTTCAACTGATTCAAAAATAATTATTTTTATCCCTCAAAAAAAATTTGTTTGTGCAGAAAAAAATTGTCATCCTTACAAAGATTCTTAGACTTAATTAAAAAATAAAAAAGTCTTCGGAGTCTTCGCTTCACTTCAAAAACATCTGCGTAGGGGTGATCGTCGATTTTTTTATCGCCGTAAACTTCTTGATACCCTTCTTTGCTTTTCTCAATACGAAAATAAATTTTTGATCAGCTTGAAATTAATCATCCTGTTTGTCATTCATCAAAACAAAAAATATTCCAAAGGAAATAGTAAAGGGGTTTGAACTCATGTCCAACACCAATTTTATAACTTTCTTTTAGTTTCTCATAACATACAGCTTGTTAACAAAAACTCTTAAACAAATACGATTCAAATTACAACAGTTTCTAAACCAAGTCTTGTCTTGAGATTTGTGATATTTCTGCCATTTGCTGCTTTTGTTTCCAGCGGATGTTGCTTGAAAGTTCAGATGGCATTGTATTTGATGAATCCCAATATCCAAAATGGATATTTGAGATCTAGGAAGCAACATCTCTCCAAAAAGCAAAAAAAACAAGAGATGGGAGGAAAGGAGGAGCTGGTGAAAGGTAAAAAAAAAAGACAGAAGGACAAGAGGAGGTTTTGGAAAAGAGAAAAGATTGTGAAAAGAAAAAAAAGGGTTTTTAAAGATGGGTTAAAAAAATTTAGAAGAGTTTAAAAAGAATGGTGACTAGGGAAGAAAAAGTTTTGAAAAATAGTAGAAGAAGGGGAAAGAAAACCAAAAAGTTGGAAACCAGAAGAAAATTTTAGACAAGCCAGGGAAGAGAGAGAGGCCTGCCTAACAGCCATAAGACAAAGAATGATTTGCCTTCTTGCTGCAAGTGAAAAGAAAATTTGAAAAATAGTTTGAAAAGAGGTAGGGAAAGGGGAAAAGGGAGGAGAAGTGGAGACCTAAAATCAACTTGAAATAAATAAAAGAAAAGAAAGAGAGAAGGGAAGAGTGTTGAGAAGAGAAAAACATGAATAAGAAAATTTTAGAAATAAAATTTTGAAGAGCAAAAAATAGAAAAGGAAAAAGGAAGAACAAAAATGGAGAGAGTATTGTTCCGGAGAAGATATGTGGTGAGATGCAAAAATATGTGAGATTCCCACCAAATATCTTCTCTACTGCCGAGATTCCCACCAAATATCTTGAATATCTTTTCTTCTCACCAGGCTTTCTCCATTGCCGTCTATGAGGGTGAGAAAGAAAAATTTATCCATTGAGGATATTTTTCTTGGTGTTTTTCTCTGACAGTGAGTTTGAAGACTTTCCATGTTGAAAAAGTTGTTTGTGATAGTAATGGATTGGAATGGCTTGGTTTAAATAGGAGGAGAAGTTGAGAAGGGGAGGTTCACAGGTTCCATTTTGTGGGTAGTTGGAACGGTGAGAGTAAAAGAGTTTCAACTTCCAAGAAGTTGAATTTTAACAAGTTGAAAGAATCTTTTACCGGTTACCAATGTGTTGAAAACTGTTTCAAATGAGATCAGTTTCATTTGGTTTGAAAAACGTAACTGCTTTGGTTTGGCTAAGCCCAAAAGAGTGGCCCAAAAAAAATGTATGTACTAAAGGGAAATTATTCCTATTGGGTTCTCAAGGCCCAAAATAAAATCTATCATTTTTCATTCCCTATAGTTCTAATTTCTAATTAGGACGAGGTAGTACCAAAAGAAGTAAATTTCACTTTTAAAAGTAAAGTGGTACTAATTTTCCAAAGTCCTGTACATTATAAAAATCATAAGGACCAGTACTTTAGAGCAAAGTTGGAAATGAACTAAGGATTGAAACTAAGTTTAGGAGGGCATATATCGTAGAATACCTGAATCGGAGATCTCCAACTCTTGTACAGAAATTGAGGTATCTATCTTCCATTGCTTAGAGTTTATCAGTAGTTTATTGCCAAAGACAAATATTAGCCAAACAGTTATGTTCCCCCTAAATTACATTCCCCCTAAATGTATGGTAAATCTCAAAAATCATACTTAAAAGAAATATGTTCAAGCATAATTAAGAGATGTATTACGAAATGTTTAAACAAAAACTAATGTTTAAACAAAGAGGTGTTTTCATCAAAACAAAATAATGTTTTCAATACTTCCCCCTGTTTTGATGAAAAGAGCCTTCACTTCTTCTTGCGCTTGGATGATCCGACAACTTCACCAATGCCTTCCATAACTCCACACTCTTCCTGGATGCGCTTGAGGTTGTTATATCTCTCTTCTGTCTGTGCATCATTTGTGAAGTGGGAGGCAATGGTTCCTACAGCTTCTGTTCCATCAAACTCAGTTTTTGACAGATGCTGGATTGAGTTCTCCGGATTGCTCTACTGGGCTTCAAGTATCAGCTTCGTCATGTTTAGGTGTGATGGAATGTATGAGAGTTCTCCTTGTTTAACTTCAATCGGAAACTTTGGAATTTGAGATGGACTTCTGGGTTGGACAATCACTTCCAGCTTGTGTTTCCCAGTGTAGGTGCCAAAGTGCCTGAAGAGCCTCAATGCTTCTTTCTAATTGTCAGCAAGAACCTTTAGGCAATCTTGAGTCACCACCTGGTTTGCTGATGACACTGCCAAGGCTGATCTGATATCCATCTGGAGGAGTGACATCTGCTTCTGAAGGTTGACTTTGACTGTGGCAATCTGTTGCTTGATTGCAGTGGCTTCTTTGAATTGAAGGTGGCAGTCAGATGCATAAGCCATCATTGTATTGCCCACAGACTTACTCAATAGAGAAATGATCTCTAGAGTTTTGTCTACAAACTTGCTTATTTCGTTGAGATTTGAGCAATACTTTTCTTCAGATTTTTCCATCATTGTGTTGTGCCTTGTTTCCATCTGTTCTAGGTTTCTGGTATTTCATCCGGAAGTGTGGTTGCTGGAGAGCTGTGAAAGTGAAAATTTGTTACCTGATTTGGAGAAGGTACTTTAAGGAAGAGTTGCAGAGGGAGAGATTCAGCATCATCTCCTTGCTTAGCTTCATCTTCATGAATCTTCAGGGTCTTCACTGACTCTTCCTCTGTTTCTTCATTTCCATAATTTGAGGTATCCCTAGAGAGGGAATCTCTGACTTTATCTTCAGCTTTCTGCTCAAAGATAGCTACTAGAGATTCAGAGGCCTCCAGCCTAGCTATTTGAGCTCCTTCTTCAGCTTCTTCAAAGCTTCTTTGGACTTCAACTGCTTGTTCTTAATGAGCTCCTTCCTCTGTAGTTTCTGGAAGAGGTAACTTTTCCAGATTCTCTGTTGACTTTTCCGGATTTTCAGGTTCTGTTGTGTTGGAGATCTCAAAAGGGGTTGAGAGAATCTCTTGAACCTGAAATTGTAGGGATTGTAGAAGCTCTTCTTCAGATGCTGTTTGAATATGTTCTTGCTAGGGAGTAGCTGCATTCTCCTGAACAGCTTCAGGCATAACAGTATCAAAAGTAGGTGAGGTTTCCAACTTCCATGTCAGCGTGTGCTTCAGTGGTGATTGCAGTCTGATCTTCAGTTGGTTTTGAGAGGATTGGCTTGTAGACTCCCTGGTCCTCATCATCAGCTTCAAACTCTGAGAATGGAGAGCTGGTAAAGTATTCCACATGCATATTTTCATTTGTTCTCTGCCAGACCCATTCATCATCCAAAATTTGCTCATAACAGTTGTTGATTGGCAGTCCCAAACACCTCTTGAGAACCTTCTCATTGTTCAGTTGTTGATCCCATTCAAGAAACTGATTTGCAGAGTTTCCAACCTTCTAAGCTCTCCAATCATAGTAGAGCTGCATGAATTTGCTCACTTCATTATCAGTTTGAGCTTGTGGTGGAGAAGATGGAAGACTCTGGTCTTGAGGAGTGTCAAACTGTTGAGGACTCTGTTCCCGTGCAGAGACTTCCTCAATTGGTTCATTCTGTACCAAGTCATCCGGATTGGCATTTCCAGATGTGGAGGGAGAGGAGACTCTTCTTTTCTTCTTCAAAAGCTCTCCTTGAACAGGGAATTCAACTTCTTCATCCAAATTAACCAGAGCAAGAGTGTGTGATTCCTCATGACTAGGAGAGGGAGAAACCACTCGCTTCCTCTTTGAGGACTTCTTCAGACTTACAATTAGGACATTGTCTGAAGATCCTTCATCTTCTGCTGTAGAGCTTATTCTGATTTCTCCTTTGGATGACAGATAGTAAAGCCAATATCTGGCATCATACTTCTTGCCGTCAGAAGCAGCACCCAAGGATTCCAAAATGTACCCAAGGTACAATCCTTGACAGAGATATTTCTGCTTGGGCTTCCCTAAATGATTTGAAACAGAGTTGAAGAAGTGTTTAGCCCAATTTACCTTGATTTTGGTAATGAGGGTGTTGATGATGAATGCCCTTTCTTGAGTTATGTCATCTGCATGTCCTCCACTGCCACACTCTAGGCATGCAATGACTAGCTCTAGGACCAATTTATAGTGGTTCTTCAGATCGACCTTCTTTGCTGGGCCAGAGGGGATTTGTCCAGAAATCCCAATGGTCTTCCAGTCCAGATTTTTGGACGAGAGCTTCCCAAAATTTCAATTCCAGAATTGGGAAGATGGAGCTTTTTCATCAACTTCTTCTGAGAAATCTTCACCTTGGTGCCTCCAACAGTGGACTTAATTACTTGAATCGTCCTCTGTGGGTTCTTCTTGGATTGAATCATTGAGATCTTCCCGTTCTTGTAGAATTCAAGAACTTCTTCTTCATACTTGAAGCAGATTTCCAGATGAAGGAATTCGGAGAGTTCCTGTGCAGCAATCATCTCCAAATAAGTTTGATAGAATGCCGGTGAAGAACATTTGGCTTCTAATTTCTGGAAATGAACATTTGCGCCAACAATCTTCATTTTCTCTGAATTTTGGGTGAAAGAATTTGAAGAAATTAGGGTTCTTGAGAATTCTTGCGAGGAAGATGACGAAAATTTGAGTGGGCTAAGTGGGCAGTTGAGATCTGAATATAGTGGCGATTGGGTTTAGTTTTTGGGCGATTTATGCGGCTAGTTGCGATTGGGTTTTCAACTGTTCCCAAGGCCACGTGTCTACCCAATACTTTATCAGACGTGGTGAGTGGACTGCCACGTGTACTGCACTCAGCCTAATTGAATTAGACCAGTTTTGTGAAGCAAATCGGAAAACTTGGCTTCACTTAGTGGTTTTGTGAAGATATCCGCCAGTTGTTCTTCAGTTGAGATGTACTCAATTTTGATAACCTTCTTTTCCACATGATCTCTGATGAAGTGATGCTTGACATCAATGTGCTTAGTGCGAGAGTGATGCACTGGATTTTGTGAGATGGCTAAAGCACTTTGATTGTCACAAAATATTGTCACTTCCTTTGTTTTGACTCCATAATCCAATAGTTGTTGCTTTAACCACAAAATTTGAGCACAACAACTACCAACAGCAATATACTCTGCTTCTGCTGTTGATGTAGAGACGGAGTTTTGTTTCTTACTTAACCAAGATATAAGATTTCCACCAATGAATTGACAAGTTCCAGATGTACTCTTCCGGTCAACTTTGCATCCGGCAAAGTCAGAATCTGAGTATCCCACTAACTCAAATGAGCTGCTCTTAGCATACCATAAACCCATATTCTGAGTTCCTTTGAGGTATCTAAGAATCCTTTTGGCTGCAATTAAATGACTTTCCTTTGGATTTGACTGGAATCTAGCACAAACACCTAGTGCATATGAGATATCTGGTCGGCTAGCAGTAAGGTAGAGTAGAGATCCAACTATTCCTCTGTAGAGAGTTTGATCAACATCCTTTCCATCTACATCCATGTCAAGCTTGGTGGATGTACTCATGGGGACGGAAACGGATGACTTCTGATCAACTTTGAACTTTTTGATAAGATCCTTTGTGTACTTGGCTTGATTTATGAGAGTCCCTTCACTTCTCTGTTTGATTTGAAGACCAAGGAAGTAGTTGAGTTCCCCCATCATGCTCATCTCAAATTTTCCTTGCATGAGGGTGGAGAACTTGGTGAAAAGAGCTTCCTTAGTTGAGCCAAATATGATGTCGTCCACATAGATTTGGACCAAAAGGAGATCTTCTCCGTCTTGAAGTTTGAGCAAGGTCTTGTCAATGACTCCTTTGATGAATCCATTGTGTATCAGAAATTGAGACAATGTATCATACCAAGTTCTTGGTGCTTGTTTGAGTCCATATAGCGCCTTTTTGAGTCTATACACTTGATCGCCTTTAGTGTGTAACTCAAATCCTAGAGGTTGTTCCACAAAAACTTCTTCCTCTAGGTTTCCGTTGAGAAATGCGCTTTTGACATCCATTTGATAGACCTTGAAGTCCTTATGAGCAGCAACAGCTAGAAACAGCCTTATAGCTTCAAGTCTAGCAACTGGAGTGAAGGTTTCATCAAAATCTATACCTTCTTCTTGACAATAACCTTTGGCAACCAACCGGGCTTTATTTCTGACAACAACGCCATTTTCATCCATCTTGTTCCTGAAGACCCACTTTGTCCCAATGACATGTTGATGAGTAGGTCTGGGAACAAGTTTCCAGACGTCATTTCTGGTGAATTGGTTAAGTTCTTCTTGCATTGCGTTGATCTAATCAGAATCAGCTAGAGCTTCTTCAATGCTCTTTGGTTCTACTTACGAGATGAAACAAGCAAGCATGGCTTGTAGATTCTGTTGTGCACTCCTAGTGCGAACGCCTGATTGAATATCTCCAATAACATGTTGAGGAGGATGATCCCTTAACCAACGAAGGTTTTGTTGATTAGGGTTGACTGGCTGATCTAGTTCAGCTTCTGGTTGAAGAACAGAGTTTGTTGGTGTTTCCGGATGTATTGTCTCTTGATCGCCATTTCCGGAATGGTCGCCATGTGAGTGATCCGGAATGTTGGGAGGCTGGCCATGATTTGCGGTAGGCTCAGCACTGTCCGGATTTCTCTTTGAAGTCTTCATAGGTAGACTTCCGAATGGAATGAACTCCGTAGGCTTCATTCTATCTTCTTCATTGATTTCTTCATCTTTGTCAGAGAGATCCAGAACCTCATGATCATGCTTTGATGGCTTGTCAACCACATGTTTTTCATCAAAAATAACATGTATTGATTCTTCTGTGATCATGGTCCTTTTGTTGAAGACTCTAAATGCCTTGCTCACCATAGAATATCTAAGAAAGATGGCTTCATCTGATTTCTCATCAAAAGTGTTCAGATGATTCTTCCCGTTGTTCAACACAAAACACTTGCTCCCAAAAATATGAAAATATGATATATTAGGTTTTCTCCCATTCCACAGTTCATAGGGAGTTTTGTTGTGCCTTTTATAAATCATACTCCTATTTTGAGTATAGAAAGCTGTGTTTAAAGCTTCAGCCCAGAACCTCTTTGGCAAGAAAGCTTCTGCTAGCATAGTTCTTACTGCTTCCTTCAAGGTTCTGTTCCTTCTTTCAGCTACACCATTCTGTTGAGGTGTCCTTGCTACGAATGTCTGGTGAAGAATTCCGTTTTCTTCACAGTAATGGATGATGATTTCATTTAGGAATTATGTGCCTTTGTCAGATCTGATCTTCTGAATGGTCTGACTTGCTTGGTTTTGAATCAGCTTCATGCAGTTTATGAGCTTCCCTTGCGTTTTCTTCTTGCTGTTGAGGGAGATTGTCCACGTGTATCTTGAATAATCATCAACTACTACTAGGACATATTTCTTTCCACTTAGACTTATTGGTGTAACAGTTCCAAATAAGTCCATGTGAATAAGACTTAGTATCCTTGTAGTTGAGGGTGCCGATTTTGCCTTGAAAGTAGACTTGACTTGCTTTCCTTTCTGACAAGCATCACAAATGCTTTCCTTCTTGTACACAGCTTTGGGAAGACCTTCTATTAACTCTTCTTTGGATAGCTTGTTGAGGGTTTTGAAGTTGAGATGACTCAACCTCTTATGCCAAAGCCATAGAAGATTAGTGTCACCTTTGCTGATTAGGCATGCCTCCTTGACATCGTCCCACATTACTTCGTAGATGTTTCTGATTCTCTTCCCAGTGAGAATGACTTCATTTGTGGAGATGTTTTTGAGGGATGCCATGTCCTTGCAGAATTCCAGAGAATAATCTTTATCACAAAACTGACTTATGCTAAGAAGGTTATAGTTGAGACCTTCCACATAAGATACAGCCTGGATGGTTAATCCCTTGTACACCAGATTTTCTAGCCCCTTTGTGAGGCCAAAATCATTGCTTCCTCCAAAAGTAACTCTTGGACCGTCATAGAGAATTAGATTGCTCTAAAGGCTTACATCACCCGTCATGTGTCTTGAACAACCACTGTCTAAGTACCAGACACCTGGGTACTTAGCGGCTTCCTGCATTAGGAGGAGGAAGATTTTGGTACCCAATTTAGTTTGGGTCCGGAATAGTTAATGGTCTGTCCCCACATGAAGTTTGAAGTTGCACGGAATTTTCCTTGCAGCTCTAAACTTGTTGGGATTATAGTCATAGTTGTAGGCATAGAACTTCCTACGTGCAAGTGGTGCAATTTCTTGTTTCCTCCTAGCAAACCTAGGTTGGTAAGAGCTATAGTTTTGTCTAGGTTGTGCATAGTGTGGCTTGTGATGGTTATAAACATACTTAGGTGGAACAAATAGTTTCTGGGGTGGAGGATGACTATATCTTGGCATAGTTCTCCACTCAAAATTTCTTAGAAAGCTCCTATCTACCCCATAATGAGTATAGCCTCGTGTATAGTGGGGGTTAGAAAGTTTTCTTCTGAGATTGTTTCCTCTTTTAGGTGTGTCTAGCTTCCAATAATTTTTAGGAAGGACTACCTTTTTGGGAACTTCTTTAGGTTTCTCATTCTCCTTACCTTTCTGCTTATTGGGTTTGGCAGTAGGTTTGGGAGGGATAAAAGTTGTTCTCCCTTTCCTTTTGGAACTGGAGGGGTAAAAACCAAGTCCTTCACGACCCTTATGTTTGGTCGTTTCAAGAAGCTTATCCACTGCTTCTTTGGACTTTAGTAACCCTAGCTCCTTGT